GTTTTATTTTTACCATCTGTTTGTTTTGTTGTTTAATTTGTTGTTGGCACGTATAAATTTTTGGTTAATTGTTTAAATAGTGTTTTATTAATTATTTTATTAATAATTGTACAAAAGACACTAATCAATTAAAATTAAAATTAAATTAATTAACGAGCTGTTGTGTAATATTGTAGGCTCACGGATAATAACTCCAATTGGGCACGTCATTCTTTTTAAAAGCAAAACTACTGTAAAACGAATATAAACATGCAATGGTACATTAATGGTATATAAATTATGTCAAAATCAAAAATAATTTATTTTAATACTAATAAAAAAACTGAAAATATAAGTGTTGTAGCCAAAATTGCAATAGTTATAAATGAACAGAATACCTTTCGAAGGTTCTAGAGAATCAAATTTTTGCAAGAGCTATTTAAGATGAGAACTGTGGTAAATATACATACATTATATTTTATTTTCAAGATACGAACAAAGAACTTTTCATAAAATCTATTGCACTATCTTTGAACAAGTGTTTAATTTATTTGATTTTTAGGTATAATATTCTATCAATTCTACTGTGTAATACATAGTTATAATTTTAGATTTATGTTATTTTTGGTGGAATCATATTTTTGTTTCCATTCTCCACTGGTACTGAGCGGGTAGATGATGCGGGGAAGACTAAGCTTTCTATGGTTCAACATCGAGGTGTCAATCAAATGTTAGGTAGGTGAGGTATGATATAATACTATGTGCAATGTGTACTATACAAGAAATAATTAATTTCCACGAATTTTCCACTCAAGGAAAGGTTTAAAAATTAAATATTAATAAATATTATCTGAAGCAAGGATATATTTTCAGCTATTTGAGCTCGAATCGAATAACTTCAAATTAAGAACTAGTAGTACTATTAGATGTTATATGTAACTGAAATTTCCGTAAACAATCTTTAAAATTTAATCAAATCGCAAATCGTTCTTTCGATTCAAAAAATTTTTTGAGACAAAAAAGGGGTAAAGATGTTTATTTCGTCTTAAAAATTATAATAAATTCGAAAGAAATCCTTTTGGAAACTCTACTTGGGAACATATTCGATTGACGAGTTCTCAGAAAAATTCGAGTAGGTATATTAATATTATATTTAATTTCGAACTAACTGGTTACCAATTAATGTTAACACAGCGTTTGCGTTTCTTGTATTCTTTTCTAGAAGCTGTGATAATTTGAATGAATCATGTTAGAATTTGAAGGCATTATAAGTTATGACATTGATTTCTGAGTAGGTACTACAGATAGTAATGTGGTGTTACTACACTGAACAATCCTTAAAGTTTTATATTTTATTTTTCTTTTACATTTTTGAGTTGGATTAGCTTCTTATCAAATTTTATATTTATTTCTGAACACTCTTCATACTTTACGTAACGCCAGATCAAACGGTACCTTCTCATTGCAGTCTTGGATTTAACTACACTTCCACGTAGGTTTTATGCAATCTTTATATAAAGACAAGTAATATTATATGATTAAATAAGTTTAAAGGTTATTATTAAAGTAGGGCCTGGGTGGGGTGGGAAACGTGGACGATCAAAGCGACGAAAAAGGAAAAGTATGCGACTACGAGTCTAATGAATGAAAATCAAGCAGCTACTTTAAGCAATTCGTGTTTTTGCAAGAGCAACAGCTTGGTATAAGTAAAAGCAATCGTTAGAGCTTAATAAAATTGTGCTGCCTTTCCTACATCTCTGTAGCAACTGCTTACTCAACGAAATTTAAATTGTCTCAAGTCACTCCAGTTTAAGTATGTTGCAGAAAACCAAAGTTATCAATATATGTACGAAATATTCTACAATAGGTTAATATTTACTATTAAACATTAAAGTTAAATTAATTTTCTATCATCTAGAGTTTGCCTCATATAATCCTAAATATTAACCTCTTGGGTGACATCTTCAAATCTCTACTGACCATAGCAGCAACACCCGCAGAATCTCCTGAAAATGTCGTCCGTGCGTGGCGACGAAACGTCAGGGATAAACCTTGTGAAACAACGTCCAGAAAGCCCGAAAAACCACGACTACGTTAACGATAGCCGCGAAAGCTTGACCCAAATAGAAATTTCTGATCGTTAGAGCATTACTTTAGTTTTTATTCTCTGGCTTTCAAGTATTTACAATGATTTTCTAAAAAAAAGCAATTGCTAAATTTTTATCAATTAGGCTTATGGTTTTGTAGGCGGATGTTAAAAATACCGCGAATAGAAAAGGGTAGGAACGAAGAGGTATCATAAATAGTAGAAAAACAAAGGGCGCTTTCCAAGTCAATAAAAACGGAGAGCTGAGATTATGCGGAGTGTTCTATTACTGGGGAAATAACACAGTTGGCTTAGGATGATAGGTGTCTTCAGGCTGACGATCCTATACATCAGTACCTACTCATTTCTTAATACATATGCTTGAATGCTACAATATTTTGTCTGCAGGACATGTAGAATTTATCTTTATATATATTTCTTCAACATAGTGATTCTTATCATGAACATGCATTTATTAATTGACTTGTCTTTGTACTAGCTCTTAATTTTTATGTAAACTGTAGGTAAAGAAGGTCATCACGAGTCGGAAATTGTAGAGGCGGTTAATGTAAGGCATCGTTCGAGAAAATCAAAGAGCAGACGTAATAGAGTAACCGTTAAAGATGCAATAGATTTTTTCAAATGGTTGAAAGCTGAGGTTAAAAAGTCATTGCAAAATTCTGGGATCGTAAGCAACGAAAAACTTGATAAAATACTGAATTGGTTGGAAGAAGATACAATAAAGGCACTGCGAGGCCGCAGATGCGTAAACGCTACAGTCACTACCACGATTAATAACTACTATATTATTAAAAGATGTATGCATTAAATGCTTCGATTAAATAAAGGGATATCTGAAAAACTGACTGACTTTTAATTATTAGTCCTTTACCCTTAACCACTTGGGTTTTAGAAAAATGGAATTTGTTTGTTCGAAATATTCTTTGTACAATGCATAAGACATCGAAGAAGTGACTTCCAATCCTTAAAGGAAAGTGCTAAAAGTAGATACATAACGAATGTGTTAATTGATGAACATAACTCGGAGTGGAATTGAGTTGTTATCAATTGCCTATAATTCCAATTAAGTGATTATAGGCAGTTTAAAGGTTGAAAATTGACACGGATAAAAAATAACGCACTATTTCTTCACTGACAATAACACTGAACTTTATTAAATAATTCAAAAAATACACTATGGAAGTCAATAAAATAAAAATTAGTTATGTTGAAAAAATACGCGTACAAAATATGTTATATCTCGCGGAGAGTATGTTTGTTTAGATGCTGTTTTGTTCGAGTGACAATGAACGACTGCTCTTGAGGAAAGCATTTTAGGTTTTCGGTAAACAAGAAAAATAGAATAACACGACATGTACGAACGATAGTCCTTGAAGACGTAAAATAAAGCAACAAATCATTCAAGGGATTACTAAGAGTTCGAACCTGCCAGACCATCATAAAAATGGTTAGTGAAAGGTCTCGAAAAAAATTACCTGCGGGTGAATGGGGAGGCTATTTTAAACGTTTTTAAAGTTTTGAAAAAAAAATCGTTAAACTGAACAGAATGTATAATCCGATTTTAATAAACAAGATGTATTATGTATATCATTAGGACAAAGAGGCAAGTAGGGAAATTAAAAAAAAATCACTTTGGATTAGAGAAGGTTGGAAATGAAGAGGTACAGTAAGACCCCGCTTGACTCGTAGGATACGTTCCATCAAAGTAGAGCGTAATGAGAAACAACGCTTAACATGTAAATAATGGGGTTACGTTATGGGAATATGTATGTGGGTTGCTCTAGTTTTGGGGAAATGCGAAGAATAGCTCAGGATAGGGACGAGTGGAGGTGCGTGTCCAACCAGTCTTAGGACTGACGATCTTATGATAATGATTATGTAGGTATTTCATAATAAAATAACCGAATTATCAAAAATTTACTAGAGAAATCAAAAATTAATTTGGCTTAGATTAAGAAAATTAAGAATCTGCGCCATTGAACATCTTTTATAATATACTATTACGGTTGTAAACGGTGATATTATTTTTTCTTTAATCGCATTATTCATTAAATTATATGTATTTATTTGAAATTCTGTTTCAAAAAACGAGTATAGAGAAGGTTTGCAGGAATAAAAATTGGAATTAAAATGGGCATGGAATGACTCAGTTATTTGTGGTACGATCACTATTTACTATTTTCATTGTCTTCTGAAGACGCTAATTCACATTATTCCGAAGCAAAGCTATCGTAAAATGCATTTTTTTTGGCTTAATTTGTTGAAGCAGGACAGTCGTTGTTTAACTTATCCTAACTTCTGCTGTGCGCCAACTTAATATTGCACAGCTAGTTGATGATTTTTCCTTTAATAAATTTTACACTTTTTTTATTACTAGTTTTATTATTAAAGGATCGAAACTATTCACAATTAAAAATATGTACAACTATTGTAACTTAAATAACTAAACGCGTATTATTGAGAACCGTGCTTACTGATGTATATTGATGAACTCTCGTTAGAAAATTTTGGACATGTATTTAAATAAACAAGAAAGAGAAGAACAATTTAAGATAGATAGAGATAGAATTAGAAACTAGTATGAAAAACTTTACAGCAAATGACTGCATTTCAGGTAAATGTGATAGGTACAATTGAAAAGGTTATGAGAGGAAAATACGGCCCTAATATGATTTTAACGATGAGTCAGGTAAACATTGAATAGGTTACTATTGTATTATGAATTCCAAGAGAAGATTCAAATGTAATATGCACGATAATGTAAATTAGGATGCAAAGAATGTACAGTTAAAACCAAAAGCAATCGAATAAGATATTATTAAATGTGTATATAACTAAAAACTATAAGTATAACAAAAAACAAACGTTTCGGCGAATAGCGAC